TTATAAAATATAAATTACACAAAATGATAAAAATATACATCAAATTCGGGGACTATTGTATTTTGTTCAATAATAGCGAATTATTTGTCGAATGAATACGCATATTTTGTTTATGTCATACATCGCATTAATTTTTAAGGGATGACATCTCTATTATGTTCATGCGTGTCTTGATTTGTATTAATAAAATATGATGCGTTTTATCGTCACTGAAATATCTACATATACCACATGCTGTAGAACAGAATAATTATTAAATTGATTTTTTACACAACAATATGCTGTAAGTTCAAAGTAACTGCTAGCTTTGTATATGGCATGCAGTGCGAATTTAGAAAATTATTAAATAAACAATATAATTAATAAATATTTGATTTTAATAATAATATCATAAAAATAAACAAGAAATTAAATCAGATTAGATATTTATACGTATAAATGAAATATGAGAAGCGAAAGGAGAATGAACGAATTAATTAAACAAACTTCCTTTTAAACTTGTACTCGATCGTAAAATATTATATATTTTTATATATATTTTTTGAAGATAATTTAAATAATAAATTTATAGTGCAGAAAGAACCGGTTGATACAGCAAGAGAAATGTCGAGAAAATTGTGTATAGACTGTTGATATTGACAAGCGGGTCGTGCAAGTTAAGGGATAAATAAGAATAATGCGAAATAAATCAGGCCAGAAGAACTTGGGCATTCCGTGAAACAACTTTCGGGTTTTCGAGTTACCTTGCAGACCGACACCAGAGTTTCTATGACAGAGATTTCGGGGCTGATCGATATGCTTTTGAAGCGTATGGTGGTGGTTGTTGTTATTGTGATGATGATAGTGATGATGGCGATGATAGTTATGATTATTCGGATGATGATTGTAGTGATTATTGTGATGATTCGGGAGATAATAATTAGAGGATGGCTGGCGATTAGAGTGCCTGGCAGCCGGTAGCGGGTGCTGGTGGTGGTGCTGGTTGATGTGATGATTGGCATTGGCATTGACATTTGCATTGGCGTTAGGGTGAGATCCCGGGAGGAACTGTGGGTACACGTGGTGAGACCACTGTGGAAATAAGGGCCGCCCTCCTCCACCACCATTCCCATCTGCCGAGGAACCACATTTACCACGTTATCCGGTCGTGCGCAAATACTTTTATCGCTCGCGATCCATAGCATTTTTGATACTGTTCTTCACTCTATGCAATTGTGATTAATAAAATTACAAATAAATAGTATAATTAACATCTGTTCATCTTGAAGTTTCCATTTTTGACGTTATGTTTATAGCAAATTATCAATATTCTTCTAAACAAATTAATTAAACAGTGCAACATATATACAATAGTTGCTTATTTCGACAATTTAAAAACAATTATCACTAAAAATTTATTTGAAATTTCTAAAGAAAAATTTAAAATATCTAAAATTGATTATAAAATTCTAATAATAAGAAAACTTTATATAT